AAAGATTCGGATGGTTTAGATATTTAAAATATCTGATTAATAGACTCAGGCTAGCGTTACTTTATTTTTAGGTTTATTTAGATTTATTCTGCTGTGATTCATACAACATGCAACTGTCTGTGGCTCACCAATCAACCTGTTAGACCATGTAAAGCACAGGTGTCGAACTCCAGGCCTCGAGGGCCGGTGTCCTGCAGGTTTTAGATGTATCCTTGATCCAAGACAGCTGATTTAAAGGCTAAATTACCTCCTCAACATGTCCTGAAGTTCTCCAGAGGCCTGTTAATGAACTAATCATTTGATTCAGGTGTGTTGACTCTGGGTGAGATCTAAAACCTCCAGGACACCGGAACCTCGAGGCCTGGAGTTTGACACCCCTGATGTAAAGGTTTGAGTGAGTTTCTGTCCTTTGTAAGTAAATATCCAAACCAGAATTATAAAACAGCCCCTTTTTTTTTTCAGCTTGAGTTCAGGTTTGAATCAGTAATTGTTCCAAATTATTTAAAGGACTGAACACATTCCACTGTCTGTGCCTTAATGGACGTGACCGGTGTGGGAGTACATTTTTCTAAAACTAATGATCATATCTTCTGTTTTCACAGCTGTTCTGACACATATTTGTCTGTAAGATAAATAATAGGGATGAAAGCACAAACTGTATCCCTGAAAACTAAAAATAAGGTTTGGTGTTTCTAAGTTCTCTTAGTAAGAAGCATCAACAAAATATATAAAATAAAATTGCTGAATATTCTGGTAATCCTGTCCAGCATCACCCATCTTCCTTAATCTAAGCGTGGTCCAGTTATGGCTACCGTGGTCGTGACTGCCGCTCCAACCTGTACCTGCTTCCCACGGGAGAGATTGTCTACTTCAATGCTTCAGTGGTGGTGCTGTACAACACAGAGGAGCAGCAGCAGAGACACTACCTGGGCCACAACGATGATGTCAAATGGTGAGAAAACAGCAAGCTGATGAGAGCAGCCTTTAAAGTCTTCTGATCTTTACAGAGACTGTGCAATTCCCTGCATCATCTTTGCTTTCCTCATTTACTCTAAGTCTTGTAAACAGATCCCGTTTGAGCAAAAGCTGTGTTTAACTAACACACCGTGATATAGATGGTTTTGTTTAAACAGACTCACTTGATGTTATCTTTTCATACAGAAGAACTAACATAACAATCGTCATTCAAATGAATAAAAACTAGAAAGGAAATTCTTTGAACAGTAAAAATGAAGCTAAAATGAGCAAATCTTCTGCCAAAAGAAATTAAAATGAAAAGAAAATGTAAAAAAGCAAAACTCTATTCGACCCCACACGTGAGACAAAGAGAGAAACGCCGAGCTGCTCAGAAGCTGTTTTTGTTTTTGCGTAACACGTCATCGACAGCTTCTGTGTTTACCATCAGTGAAATTTGTGCTGTACTTAATGAGCACCAGTTGACATCCTGTGCCTGGAGACACTGGGATGTTAACATTATGGCCCCCTGGGGCATGCTGGGAAAGCTTCTCCGCTCTGCAGGGAAACAATCGTGCTCTCCTCTCCCACGCCGTCACGTGGGATTCGGCTTTTTCCGTTTTTTTCTTTTTTTTTTTGTGTGTGTGTTTTAGAAATGCAAAATATGATTCACATTGAAATAAATATTGTATATTTGTTTTTATTGACTTGGAAAATGTGAGTCAATCGGTTTGTTTATATGGCTGTTGTTTATACGTGTCTATAACGTGCTTGTGAAAAATACTTGAGATTTCCTGTAAAAGTCAGAGACCAGAGAAAACGCCGTGTGTCACGATAAAGTTGAACTAAGCAAAGATTGTAGTGTAAACATTTTTTAAAGGCATCGTGTGAAAGAAGCAGAATGAATGAGAATTAATAATCACAAAACCACAAATATAATTAATGTTTTCTCATATCTTCTTAGCCTGAGTGTGCATCCTGACATGGTTACCATAGCAACAGGACAAGTGGCTGGAAACTCTAAAGATGGAAAGGTACTGCGAGAATCTCCAATCCTGCCGTAGCGTTGTCTCCTAATCACTAAATATGAAACTGAAAGAGCTTTAAAACTTCAAAGTTTTGTTTTTTTTGTGGAAACCAGAAGAAGGTTTGATATGAATCAAACAACTTTACTATGTCTCCTCTTTTTTTGTGTGTGTGATCAGCTGCTGGCTCCCCATGTTCGCGTCTGGGATTCTGTGAGCCTCAACACGCTCCATGTGCTTGGAATGGGAGTGTTCGATAGAGCGGTCACCTGTGTGGCTTTCTCAAAGTCGGTAAGGAGCGTCTCGCCCTTTTAGACTAGAGGTGTCAACATCATTCTAGTTCAGGGAATTACACCAATGAGTAATGACCTCTAAAGAAAAAGGGAATGAATTTGGAGGTGTTTTATTTTAGTGTAAAGACATATATTCCCCTAAAACTTCACATTTAATCAACCAACTATTTATGTGTCTCAGTTTTTCTACATTCATCATCTACATCAGTCGGTGTCATAAATCACAGGCTTAACGTTACTTGAGTGTGGTTTGGCAGGCGATGGTTAATGTCTTTGTCAGTAAGAAGCCCGTTAAACTGATGAGTCATAGTTCTGGCTCAGATATAATCAATGCTTTAGTCAGCCAGACTCATGATGTGATCTATATATGACACTGCGAGTGTAATACTTCCTGCAAAATATAATACAATTCCAATAACTGTGCACTTATCCAAATACCCAGTTTTTACACAAGTCATTCAGGCCACTTTCTATGTTTTCATGCTGTTTAAGATTTAATCAGTTATTTATTTATTCAGAATGGCGGCACCTTCCTTTGCGCTGTGGATGATGCCAACGATCACATCTTGTCAGTCTGGAACTGGCAGAAGGAGAAGCAGCTGGCTGAAGTCAAGGTATGGCCACCTGAGTCTGATCTCATTCATACAGCTGTGTCATTATTGATCTCCTGGTTTTACATTTTTTTGATAACATGCATGGATGAAGGATTTTAATGGTATGTTTTCATGAATGTAGCAAATAGAATGAAACAATAGCTTCCTGGCTTCTGTCCCTGCAGTGCTCCAATGACTCTGTGCTGGCCGCTGTGTTTCATCCCATGGACACCAACCTGATTGTTACCTGTGGAAAATCTCACATCAACTTCTGGACCATGGAGGGGAACACTCTCACCAAGAGACAGGGCCTGTTTGAGGTATCGCAACTATACACAAGTTGTTTGTTCTTAAGACCCTGCTGTATATTTAGTTTTATTTCTTAAGGTGCAGTCTATAACAGCAGTCTTTTCTGTAGTCCTTAAAATCCTTATTGTTTGGCTTTGTAGAAACACGAGAAACCAAAGTATGTGTTGTGTGTGGCATTCGCTGAGAATGGAGACGCCATCACAGGAGACTCCAGTGGGAACCTCTACATCTGGGCCAAAGGTACGATCAAAGTGAAAGTTCTGAT